TCTTGTGCAAAGATTTTGACATATGTTTTTACTGAGGAACGAAACTCTGGTGAGAACTATGCAAAATTCAAAGAATGGAGTAATGAGAGGAAAATTTAAAGTCCTCTTAACCACAACTGGTCTGCATCATTAAATATTGAACTGGACATTTTGATGTGAGGTCATTGAGAAAATGTTCCGTCTAGGTGTACTCAGATCCATTATACTGCACACTCATTTGTTCTTTGCATTTTGCCATCAAACATATGGCTTCCAGAACCACTGAGCGATATTATGCCATTTAACTATACAGTTTAAGTGTTGCAAACGTAATTTCAAAATGGTACATGTAGATCAAGTCCAAGAGTAGAACTTCAAACTTGTAAAAGGAGAAGGTGGGGCAATCAGATTGACTAGCAATATTGCACAACTACAGCATTTGATAGTGTTTTGTCTAGAAATGGCCATAGTAAATTAAGATTAAACCCCCTTTGAAATACTATAACGTGATCAGGTAATCCACATAATGTTTAACACCAGGAACGGTTTAAAAGCAAAAACACATCTTTCACAAAGCATGTTAAAGCTTTAGGCGGGAGGGTGTTTCGGCCTAGAGTGCTACTTCGAGTGAATGCAGATGTCATATACCCTATTGGACATTTATCACAGAAGTATCAGCATTTTGTAATGAGGTAAGAACATGTGGATGTTAGATATAAAACAGAGGTCCCGGTAGATGAAAATGTCGATGACAGAGATGTTATTTCGGTTTTGTTTAAAATGTTCTGGGGAGTGGGGTAAACACTAAATGGGCTGTCCTTAAGAAACATTTTGATAATTGCTGTATAAATATGTTGTTGTTTAGATGATACCAAAATGGAGAAGATACTTAGGCACTCAAAAATCATTAGTATAATAAAACCAGATAAGAGCTTAGATAAAACAAAACGCCAAAAAACAAAAAGACTGACACAAATCACTCCACAACAAGAATGTGTCCATAGTACACGGATGCCCCACTCGCAGTATCATTTTCTATGTTCATTAGACCGTGAAATTGGGGTTAAAACTCTTATTTGGCCTTAGAATTAGAAAGATCATATCATAGGGAACATGTGTACTAAGTTTCATGTTGATTAGACTTCATCTTCATCAAAACGACTATCACCAAAATCTTTAACCTAAAGCAGGACGGACGGACGGACGGACGGACGAACGAACAGACGAACGAACGGACGAACGAAAGGACGCATAGACAGAAAAACATAATGCCCCTCTACTATCGTAGGTAGGGGGTAGCATGTTAATTGAGCAACACCAACCCCACTAAAAACCGGGGATGATCTCAGGTGCTTAAGAAGTGTACGCAGTTCCTGTTCAGCAAGTTACACCTACCTAGGTGCTCTTGTTTGACAAGATGTATGAGTCATATCCAGTAGTCAGGCGAATATTATATAATAGTGATCGAATGTGGAGGTTTGCAATGAAGTAAGATTTTCCATGCCTATACGATGAATAAATAAGCATTTCACTGGTTGACAACACAGTCATTGAAAATAAAGACCAAATAACTCAACACTGAAAGCATAAACAACACATCTTTTCATCAACTAGGGGTCAACGCAGGTTTAGGAAGGGTATGTAGTTTCTGGCCAAATAGTAGCACTCGGGATGTTACTCATTTCAAGTAGAAATTTGGTGATTAGTCGTACTAATTTATCATCTTGATGTTACCACAATCGAGAAAAAAGAAAGGACTGTGGCAAGGAGAAGTGGGACATATCCATTATCATTTGTGACTCGAATGTTTCCATTTATGGAATCTTTGTAAAAATTGTCTTGCAAGCAGCATCCATGTATCATGTGCAGCGCCAAACAGACGCGCACAATTAAGAAAGGGTTTAACTGCAGGTCGGAAAAGACAAAGGAGATCATATTTCCTTACCTCAGTCACCCTTTTAGTCCAATTTTAAGGTAAGTCCATCGTCGGTGTCATATATTGATTACGACAATAAATACTATGATACAGGCGTAAATACCTGAAATTTGTATCATTCACGATCATTATTCATAGCGCCCATTTATTCATAAATGACACTACGTGATTTCATCTTGAATATATATATTAAATATTTCTCCTTAATATTTGTATTGTCAAATTGACGAAAAAAATCCGATAAAAACTATGCAATTATGATAACATTGTATATGTGTAGATGCACTGTAACAGTTATATGTTTGAATCGGGTTCCTTATTTGTACAACCTTATTGATCTAGATAAAATGTTCCAATAATAAACATTAAACGTATCACTATTGTAGTTTTAAAAGAGCATATCAAAGCCCCTATCCTAATGTGTATTTTCATCATTTGTCAAAAGGCTAGTATTAGTAATTTTGTTTAAAGATGAAAGATCAGTTGCCAGCTAAGCTGCAGAACATAGCAAAAATATATTTACCTAAGAACTCTCCTTCGAAAATGATTCTTTTTTCTTGGCAAATAAACTGTTATGTATAAATCTCAATTACATGTTCAAAATAAAAATCACGTCGACATTACACTTTCGAATGTATCTTGTTTCGCATTTAAAAAAAATTAGTAACTGCTATAGATATTCAGCTTAAAAAATGAATAATAAAACTATCCCTATACTTAATTGTACAATTAAGCATACGTATACTTGGTGTATTAAGTGCATTACTATAAACGACGTGATAGCCTAATAAACGTGATTGTAGCAGGTAAGAGACACTAAATAGCCATGAATGTGTGTGATCAGGTTAATTTATATTGGAAACACTAATAAACTCCAGTCACTGTGTTACAATTACTATTATAGGTTGGGAAAATTAACTTAGTCAACTTAGTACTTTTGGGTCTTTGACTGTTTTGATTCGAGCGTCACTGATGAATCTTTTGTAGACGAAAATACAAAATGAGAAGACAAGTATCAATGATGAGTTTGTTTACTCAATGTTACTTGGTTTGTTATCTACCTACCTTCATTGATTCAGGATTGATAGTGTTATATAATACTACAGTAAAATACTACTGTGACAATCCTAATATGTGAAAGGGATTATCAAGTTTATTTTTGAAAACCACTGTTTTAACTAAATATGATAATGTAGTGTTTAGTAATGTTGAAATAATTAAAGGAACACTCGTTGAGTCCAATTATTTTGTTCCAAATGTCAAGTGCTAACATTTGCTAGCCTCTTAACACATTTATTTTTCATCTAAATGTGATGGTACGTGTTATGTGCAATTTTTAGTTGATTTGTTGTCGGAATTTGTTTGATTTTGATATAACTAGGTGCGTTGGTCTTTGAAGATGTTGTTGCTTTCTGCCTATATAGATTAAACGATTCAAGAAATATGTTTAAGAATGCTTCAGTGCACTATTTTTTTTTTGCTTTGCTTCGGTTTAATCTTGTTTCCTTTTACACATTTTGAGAAATTGAAAATGAAGGAAAATAGTGAAAAATTTTACATTATGTTATCAACATAAATTATTGTATTTTAAAAGTAGATTATGTATAAGATCATACTTATTGAAATAAATGTTAACGTACAATGTACGTGAAAGCCGTTTTAACCTACATTATGCATGTAAAACATGTGTAAAAGAACCTCTATTTTCAATCATGTTAGTTCATGACTAGTTCATGACTTGTTCTTCATGTAATATAACTTCACAATTATAGTAATACTGTGAATTGCTTACTTTACTATTCAAACAGAATTACACATTATTACTAAAAGAATTATAATAGATAAAAACAAACAAACAAACATACCATTATACAACTTTCAGTTAGAATGCCATGTGCAAAAATCTTATATTTCCCATGACTAATCATAAATAAATTAAAATATACTGCACTCTTAACGATTACAACTACATAGAAGTAATCGTAAATTCGTTGTACTCGTTTCGATTTAAAAAGATATGATTTAAATTATCCCATGGTGAACGTTCGATATCTCTGCATCGTTATTCCAATAGCACTTTTATATTGAGTATATATATCGCAGTTTAGACGACAACTCATGGCCCATGTTTCAAAATTTTCATGATATGAGTTACATGATAATTCAGATTTCTACTTACACGACATGTAAAATATCATTAACTAAAGGCAATGTATCCTCTTCGAAAGTTTTTCAGACGCTATCATGATTAGGTTGAGTTTTATAGGATATCAATGTCACAGATGATCACGGATAATTCCGTCCTTTTTTCCGTGTGATATGTGATATTAATGAAAGCGACTGATCGCATTATTTCTGCTACCGAGCATGACGACAGTGTCCCTAGTGGAACAGGAAATGCCTACCCTTCCGGAGAACCAAAGTTCACTCCAAGTTTTGCTAAAAAAGTGTTTTGTGTTGATTTTGCATTTAATTTAGTTTTTAATGGTGTATTTAGTGTTATCGAATTTTCCAATATCTGTATAAAGAACAAAGTTGTGGTGTGATTGCCAATGAGAAAACTCTCCGACAGAGACCAAATGACTGAGAAGTTAGAACTATGATTTTTTTTCTATCAAGTAAAGATTTTGCCTTAGATTTGTCCTTAAAAATATATTTAATTCAGACTTCCATGTTCAGACAGTTTAAGAGTACGATAATTTCCTTAACCGACTGTTAGTGATTTCGGTGACGTCTTAGGTAAAAGATATACCGATCGAATTGTCTCTGATGCCTTATGAGCGGATCATATATCTTATTAGAAGTAACACGACAGGAGTCTTGTGGTTATCGTCTTGTATGTCCACTTACATAAGCTATAGTAACTGTTGCTCTTCAAACAATGTATCTATATTATTTTAGTAAAAAGTAAATTTGTATTTTATACTTAAATTGTGTGCATGATTTGAACCCAATCTATGATTAAATCATGCATTGCAGAAGTGATGAATATTACACAATTAATGTATCAAAGACGTTTCTCCAATAGAAACACAGGTAATAATGTATAATGTATACAAATATGTTTTCCATCTCTATAGAAAAAGAGGATGTTTTTATTTTTATTTTACTTGCTTGTTTATTCAAAATAAAAGAAAACAAAGAGTTCCTCTTAAAGTTCATAGATTCGATTCCTACATAACTTTTTATCTCGCTCGGTAGAATATTTAACATATTGCGCTTAAACTGTATATATATTCATTTACGAACAATTGACAAAATGTGATTAACATAATCAAATTACTCTCAAAACGAAATGATGATTCACCTACATGTTATAAATATAAACACATGATATTTTTCAAAGGTAAAGAATAATGACTTTTTCTTTTATTTTACACTGTAGCAAACATTATTTTTCCAAAATATGATCTTACAGTAACATGCATAAAAACAGAATTGCTTACACAGACACTGTCAACGGCATTGTAATTGTCAAAGAGTATTCACTACCACATGTTAACACAGGTATTTTGCAATCTATATATTTCTTGAACCTTTTTTTCTCGGAGTTTATTGTTTTTTCATAACTAAACATACAGCAGCTGAGACCAGAACGCCAAACAGAAAACCTCCAGTGCTTCCATTCACAATTAATATTGAGTTATCATTGTCTATTGTATTTGCAGCCACTAAAAAACAAAACAAAATCTACATGGATTAACAGATAAATGTATGATGGTAAAAATTGTTACAGTTTTTAGACTTATTTCTTACTGTATATCTCGTTTTATTTCATCTATTTAGTATGAAATATATATTGAGGGTTTATGCATTGCTGTTCTTATTACTAGGCATAACTTCAATCAAATAAGATCAGATAGTTTGCAACTATTATCGTTGATCCGACGCTCATTAGAATACTAAAAGGAAAATCAGATACACAAAGATAACACATTATTCAACGCATCACTGCAGTAAAGTAAAAAAATATTGGCAAATATTAATTACCGTATAATACCCATTTCATAGACTTTAACATTTGTTTCTAGAATAATCTTAATCAGGTTTATTTGCATACAGAAGTTCGGAAACCAAATATGAACAAACGGAGATATATGATATTCGTCGACAAGACAACAATGCAGCCTACCAATAAAATAAACAATAGAGAGTTATGTGTATGTCAACTCTGGAAATATTAATGATTGATCCTCATTTTAATAATTAATAGTATCTCATATGTTCCTATGTACTTGACGTTTTACAAACAGTTCATCCAAGATCAGACAGTAATTTTCTGCTTTACGTACCTCATATTAACCTCGTGATTGGAAATGTTAAAACAAATCGCGGTCTTAATTTCCGTAATGAATTGAATGCACCGTCATTGAACGATAAATGACCACAAGAAAATTGTATATATGTACTTTCAACATTATATCCGTCAGAAATAAACTAAAACTTTTAAATAATTTTTGCGATGAATTTGATTATATTACATTGTCAAAAACGCACTTAGATTACAACATTGCTGATGACGATATACAACTAGATTATCGTAAGAAAAGATAGAAATTATTTTGGTGGTGGTTTACTTGTATATGTTAAAGATGGTATTGGAATTAATCGTATTAATACAATCGAATGAAAAGAAGATGATTCCCTTTTAATAAATATCTATGTTTAATGTCAAACGTTCTTATTTATTCACACATATCGATCGCCTAATGCTGATAATAACTACTGGATAAGATTTAATCATTAGGTTGGGATAACAGATCAATGTGAAGGTAGAGATTACAGGCGATTTGAATTCTGACTTATAAAAATAAAAAGATGTGGTATGATTGTCAATGAGACAACTCTCCACCAGAGACCAAATGACATAGAAATTTATGTCACCGTATGGCCTTCAACAATGAGCAAAAAAACCCATACCGCATAGTCAGCTATAAAAGTCCCGGCACATTAACAAACTGATTTTGACCCATTAAATTTGTCTAATATAACCAACGTTATTGAATTATTAACTGGAGTAACGGACCATAGTAGCACTCTACTAGATCTGATTATAGGCAGTGAATCTATGAAATGGTTCTTTTTCTAATGTTTTAAAACCTCCATTCGATATAAGTGATCATGATGCGCCTATTGCAGTTCTCGAATGTCCAATATCTGAGTTTAAATCTTTTTAAAGAGAAATGAAATATGGCTATATGATAGGGATGATATTTAAAATTTGGAGATAAACTATATAGAATTAATTGGAATACAGTGTTTCCGGACAGTAAAAACACTAATGATTGAGCGAAATATTTACAACTGAATTTAAGAAAACCGCTCAAGAGTGTATTGGGTCCAGAAAAAGTAGCAGTTCCGTTCATAATAATTATATTTAATAAATCCTTACAGGAAGGCAAGTATTCAACAAGCTGGAAGACATCAAATCTAATACATATTTTAAAAAAGGGGATTCATTATTGCATTCAAACTATAGGCCGATTTCTCTAATTAGTTGTATTGGAAAAGAAAGGGAAAGGTTTGTGTTAAAGCACTTATTCAATTATTTAAATGCTTATAGATTGATTTATAAATATCAACTCATTAAAATATACAACTGCATTTTGAACATCTTGGAAAAAAAAGAAACACATTGTTTTGTATTCCGTGACTATTCTAAAGCTTTTAACAAAGTTTGGCACATAGGTTTTATCATGTTTATATGCAAACTGAAATCTTATTACTTGACGGAAGCCTATTTCATTGGTTTGAAAATTATCTACGTGATAGAAAACAGAGTATTGCATTTTTTGTTTTATTTTGTAAAGTTTTAGCTGATGTTTTCAAGTGATCTGGTCTCGACCCTCTTTTCTTTTTTTCTTTATATTGATAATCTTGCGGATAAGCTGAAAACACTGTGTGAGCTACTTGTTGATGACACTTCATTCAGCTATAATGGTAACAATAGACAAGATCTGTGATCGACCTCGAGTAAATAAGTAAAATGTTTTTATTCATCCCTGATAAAACCGAAATTATGATTTTTTCACATATAGAGAATCCAGATATTAGCTTTTCCGTAAAAGATTAAACTATTCCTTTAAGTATATCTCATAAGCACATGGGAGTTACTTTCAGAAGTAACGCAAATGGAACAATCATATTAAAGTATCATTACAAGTCTAAAGAAAGACTTAAATGATTATCGTAAACTAGAATTCCGAATAATTCAGAAAAACTGTATCATGTGTATATAGTTTTTATTCGACCCATGTTTGAATATGCCACGAAAGTGTGGAACAATTGTGGAATATGAAAATCACATAGATTAGAAAACTTGCAATTAGAGGCCACATGAATTCTAACAGGTCTACCAATTTTCACTAAAACTGAAACTTTGTACTATGAGTTTGGCTGGGAATCAATTTTATTTTAAAATGAAGAAGAAATTACAGATGTTTTAAAATACGAATCATAACCTAGCACCAGAGTGCCTATATAATGCTGTCCCTCCGTGTATATAAAGTACAACTAACTATGCATTGCAAACTGGTTAAGATAGTACTGCTCCATTTTGTAAATTATCTTTACTACAGAATCAGTATTACCTCTCAATACGCGTACGAGAGTGAAATAAGCTTGATCCAAATGTTGGCAATGTCGACTCTATATCAAAATTTTAGAAATAATTGAAAAACGATATTCTCCTATGTAAAGTTGAAACGGTTTATTTTTACGGTTCGAAGAAATTGAACATTATTTTAGCTCATTTGTGATCTTCCGCTTCATTCTTAAACCTAAGCACTATATAGTTATAGTAATTATATACTAACTTGTGTCTAATCCTTTTTGAGCGTTCTTTTTGCAAATAAAATATGTTTAAACTAAACTATGCAATTTTTCAAGCTAACACTGTACTTGAACCTTACTGTAACTGTGTGTCAGCTATTAAGGTCGTTCTTCATTTTTTTACACTGCGTGCAGACAAATTTTACTCGATAATCTAAAGAGGCTGTACGAAAACTTTGCTTAAAATACATAACCGTTACCTTGAGGAAACTGTGAACTACATTCGAGTGAACAAAATATCCGAATGTTTATACATGTTCAACATTTCTTCAACAGGTCAATCAAATGTCTTTTACCTTCATAAAGTGTTATTTATACTGACACGGAACATCAACATCTTCACCATGATCATCAACACCTAAGTCACTACAACAGAATGATATTAAATTTCAATCTTTGTTTCTTCTTTTTCTTTTATTTTTATTAATATATTGGCTCATATAATATACTGTAACAGTAAACTGTTTTCGGTACATGGAAGCTCATAATATTATACCTGTACAGTCGCATACAACCATATTGTATCATTGAGAAGAATTCACAAGTATGATTTACTTGTGTCTCATCAGTTTTTCATTAATTTAGGATACCGCATATGTTTAAACTAATTCAGGTCACAGTAACACAAATAAATAGTTGTTATTTTTGCTGCATACATCAGAGGTATTGTCCGGCTGTAGAAAATTGCATCAACTATAACTTGCATTTTAAAAGATTTGGATGTAGAACTACATGTACGCACGCACGAGATCAATATGAAGACGGTTGTATTGTATAACTTTCAACTGATGATAATGGATTAAAACTCATTATTACATATGGATATATATGACCACTTTATTCACACTTTTCCGGATTTTAAAGACTGTACGCGGACGTCTAGGTGTATTTTGGTTTTCTGTATGGTTGGTTTTCTATGACAGTTTCATAAACAAATAAATCTTAATTTGAACATTCATAATCCAGGAAGAACTACAAACTAAACTTAAGGAGTCATACACCATTGTTTTCCCCTATCTGTCTTTGTTAACTTGGCACTTTTTAAAAAAAGTGTGCAGAATTTATCTTTGTTTCAAATGAAGAAATAATTGCCATCAATAAAGTTTGTATCCTGTCTAGTACTACAGACAAAATTTTAATAGACAATTCATTGCAAATTAGGCAATAACCATCACTGGAAGTTAACCAATCAAAGCTACACCAGTTTTTGTTCTGTTTACATGCTTTTGCAACCAGATAACCTCAAATTTCCAAAATGTTTTACAGAAAAACCAAATAAAAACAAATGGTGCTTTTAAACATCAACGATATATTTTGATGACTCTTTTTTTTTTCTGCAATGAAATGCAGGGTCAATTTTTCCTACAACTGTCAAATTCAAGGGAATATTTTTTTCGACTACTTTTCGTTTGAAACCGGATGTGACGTACTATGATTTGGTGGTATTACACCTTAATAAACTAGTACACATAATCTGAAGAAAAAAACACCACGATAAAAACCCGGTTGTAAAAATCAGTTTGGTGAATGTCCCTTTGGTATCTTTCGCCTCTATCTTTCATATTTAATTGGATTTTGAAATAAAATAAAACGCACTTTTACAGATCATATTATTTTCCTAAATGTGTCTTGCTTTATGTTTATGACCTTCTAGAGTTTAGTACTCGTTTACGACTTTGTTAACTGTTTCATTTTTGTGGATAGTTTTCAATTGCAATCATACTGCATTTTCTTTTTTCATACAAAAAATGCACAGCATTCCCTTCCATTGGACTTACTTTTAACGAATGCCAGGAACAGGGCACTTAATCGGATATGAAGTGAATATTCTTATACGGTATCTGAGTTCAACATTGGTATTTTCTATTCCGGGCATTGTTTCTCAACTGTAAGTATTTTTGCATAGTGTTTCGGTAACTACTTTTGCACGTTTTGTGTCTTATGGTTTTTGTTATTGTCGATTGTCTGTTTTTTACTGAGCGCTTGGTATCGTTTAACATTTATGATATCGTTTCCTACTTAAGAAAGTGCAATATTATGATTCATTTTAATAATATCTTACCAGCAAGGGTTTGATAAACTGTAGTAAGTCCAGATATCATGCAGCATCTATCATACGTCCTGTGTTCAACTTATAAAACTTTACGGTTTACTGTACATTGGTTTGTAGGTGATTATCCTATAAGAAGCTGGTTTACCTTGGTCCAATTTGCAGGTATGATATTGAGGGAAAAATAGAACAAAAAATAATTAATAATATCAACATGATGAAAAAGAAAATAGAAAACGAAACTATCTAAAAGTAAGATCATTTTCAATCCAATACACTGATTACGAGTGTAAAGATAAACTATTCATATTATTGAGTAACATCATTTTATGATATGAATATTATTGTATTCTAACTCAATTTGCGCATGGTATGGTGTAAATGAACTTTAAACTTTAATATAATGAGACATAAAGTTACATCTGCGTGCAATTCAACTTAATTTATATAATGATGCACTTCTTTACAATAATCAAACAAGTATCACATGAACAGTAATATATCTCTATCAAGATGATAAAGAAGAAATAACATCTTATTATAGTGCATGTTGACCGATGTACGTTATATGAATATGAAAAATAACACATAATATCAGGTATATGTAATTCATGGTAACCCTTAAAAGCAAATAAGCATAGCTATCTTTGATGTATATATAGACATAAATATAATTATATATTATATATAATAGATGTACAATACAATGTCATTTCACATGAATCAATGGAATTAGAAATATAATAAATATGATTAACAGGAAACATTGAAACAGCGAGCAAACGACAGACATAACCATACCTACATAGTTTGTTAGCCCTAAAGTCAATATAGATATCACTATATAAGAGCAAGTCGTTCATTTAAATAACAACTTCTAACACATTTGCGCATTGCAAAAATACAGTATATTACAAGAAGTATTTATCCTGATGTTTACTTAAACTAGACCTAAGGGTAAAAAATGATACATGTAAATCAAGACAACAATAGTTTTCCGATGTTAAATGTCATAAATCGATTTAGAAGACAAACCAAGGTAACAAACACAAACATAGGGAATCGCAAGAACACCAAAATTAATGGGGACCGGGTGCTAGATTCGATAAGCGTCTCCTGATATTCATGCATCGTCCGCCATGCGAACCCACACCAAGTCAATAGGCAATATCTGCAATCAGACAGAGTTTGTAAATATACAGGTCAGAAAATTTATCTGGTACCTAAAGATCAACGACTGCAAAAACATTTCACTATTGAGTTGAGACACATTAAACCATCAACCAATTCGTGATGGTGATCGTAAAACTTATGCAGTGTCGATTTTAGTTGTTCTTCTCATAACTCTGTTATTTTGAGCAGTTTTTGTCCGGACTACAAGCCTCTAATGACGTCCGTAACATTTAAATTGTACGAGTGAAACGTATCAATTGCAATTTTAAAACACCATATGATGGGACAGAGGGTACGTTACTGCTGAAAACTGAATGTTGGCGATGGAAAGTTGAAAAAATCACGTAAATCATAATACATAGTTTATTTTAAAAAAAGTAAAAGTAGTTTAACCGAATAAGGATTATAAACTTACATGTAAAATACAATACATAGTTGAATTTTAAAAGTTTGAACACTTTTGATAGTTAAACTGAACTTAAAGCTAAAATGACGACTTGTAAAATACGAAACGGATTGCCTTTAATACGTGTAATTAGCAGTATTTACATTTTGCTCTAATATTTTCATATCTAAATACAAATGTAATGGTTATTTGATGGCTAAATAAACATTTATTTTCACAGCGCTTTTCCAAATATAAAACAAACATTATCATCTATTTCTTAATTAAACATGCTCCACTTTTATGTTGAAAAACTGCTAGTTTTTGTTTAAATCGATAACTTTCAAAGATATATACCTACATCTGCTACATAGACAGTACTGCCCAACCCATCCATTTACACATCCTTCAGCACAAACGCCTGTGTATATATCGCATTTTGTATTCAAATATTGTTTTGGGTCACATCCGAAAACACATGAACCATTTTCAGGATGACAGTGTTGGCTTACATATAAAGATGAACATGCTTCGTTACAATTTGGTCCCGATATACCTTTTGAACGATCCCTCCCTCAGACGTACAAACAAACTAAAGAGAACAAAAGTAACAGAATATGGTCCTGATAGGGTGACTTGGTACAGACACAATATGCAGTAGGATTAAACTAGATTTTCGTGCGCACATTCCATATATTGTATGTCTATCTAGACCATATGCCGTTATATGTGTTATAACCACACAACCATTTGTACAGCAGGCAACTATTTTAGTAAATATTAAAGGCTGAAAACTAGACAAATCGAGTCATGGTCATGATCCCTAGCCTACAGAAATTCACAAAGTAAATTAGCGGAAAAGCTATAGAAATGCAATGTTACACCACTGTCCCAGGTTAGAGGGAGGGTTGAGCGCTCATAAACATGTTTAAGCCCGCCACATTATTTATGTGCCTGTCCCAAGTCAGGAGCCTGTAGTTCATTGGTTGTCGTTGGTTCATTTCTGTCATATTTTTTTTTCGTAAATTGTTTTGTTATAAATTAGGTCGTTAGTTTTCTCAATTGAATTGTTTCATATTTTTCATGTCGGGGCCTTTTATAGCCAACGATACGGTATGAGTTTTTCTGATTGTTGAAGGCCGTACGGTTGCCTATAATTGCTTACATCCACTTCATTTGAACTTTGGTGGATAGTTGTCTCATTGGCAATCATACCACATCTCCTTATTTTTATAAATTGTCAATGTGATTTGCCTCTTTTAAATGACAGAGGGGAATAGTTAATGATTTTTTCTTTTCTCTTTCTGGTCTGTTTAATTCCTCAATGACTTATTTCGACGGACGATATCTTAACAATACATTTAGTTGTGTATCAACAACTTGCCTGTACCAATTCAGGAATGTGACAGTTGTTTTCCACTTGTTCCGTTGGTTGATAACATTTGATTTTGTAAGTTTTATGGACTTCTCCTTTTTAAATTAACCTTGAAGTTCGGTACAATTGCTATACTTTTTCTTAAAACTAAGTTATGAATATATCTGAACATTCAATTGTTTTTACACTCTGAGTTATTTAAATAAGTCTTTGGAATAAATTAACAAGAGACTCAAAGTTGTAGGCAAATCTTTTCAAGGAAAACAAAACTGCTATGACCAATAATATAACACAAACCATTAATGGCGACATAGTATAATTCCACCAAAGGTCCGTATGTTTCATCTCCTTTAGTGTCGTAATAAATTACATATTTTCCAAGTTGACTACAGGGTATTATCTGAGTGATGTTTGGAAGACCGGGATCAGGATCTTCTTAACAGAGATAGCCTTCAGGTGGAATAGTTGATGTGTTGGTTACATATAATTTAAATCCATCCATACGATGGGCAACTGTAATAAATAAAATAAAATTATGGTATTTAACAAGTATGAAGATATTTAATTTAGCATAATCCTCATTCAGTGCATTTGTAGTCTCTACTGGCATTACAGCACAATAATGAATCGACGTCCTAATGAGTTTTAGATGCTTCTTGTTGTTGCAATTCTTTTATACTATGTGCAGATGTTTTACAATACTTAATGTGATATGGTTATACGGCCAAAGATAGGGACCACTGTTGAATCCTAGAACTCGAAAATAACGAGAACATAACAAGAACAAACATTCTAACCGTCATGATTATAAACAGACATATATACTATGATTTAGATGGATATTTCCAATGGTATCAACCAATGAAAAATAATAACAGTACCGCATAACATATCGAGATTGTATATATCCAAAAACTAACGCAAACAAATTCAAATTGCATAGCAGACACTAACTGCGCTTCAAGGTTTTGTGTACGTTTGATAACAAACGATTTTTTTTATATCTTGAACATAGACAGCCTGAAAAATGACAAAACATTTGAACAAAAATAACTCTAATAAAATTTTTCGCTATTGCATCAAATGATCATTGATCTGCCCCCCTTTCAACACCCCTTCCATCATCCTAGTAATTCTTGAACAAAATTGGAGATAAGATGAATGTATCGACATTTTTATGATTTATTACTTATTTTAGTTATTGTTTTAAACATTTTTTCCGTATTTTGCTGGTTATGAAATAACAGTTTTTTTTATAAATATTTAATTCTTCGTTCCCCATTTTCATGATTTTGGAGCCAAAAAAAAAAAAAAATAAAAACAAAAAACACAAAAAAAAAAAAAAAAACAACCTTTTAATTACTGAGAAAATTTGTAGTCAAAAATAGCTTATTCTTCTATTATACATGTACATATAAAAAGGACATTTTAAAAGAGTGTATTGATAACAATCATACGCATAACATGATTTATGATTTATTATAGTATACATACTTACAGCCTGCTCTGTATTATACTTTTATTTCTGTGATGTACGCAGATCCGAAAGAAAATTGAAACATCCACCATGCTGGTTTACTACTAAGGGCTGTGTGTCAACATATTGCTAAATTAAAGGCATTTGATATAGGTGGTTGAATAGCAAAATGAGGTTTACCCTGAACGTCGTCAACCAAGGAACTTTGCGTAGCTGTTCCAAATGGTGTAAGATTATCTGTTTAACAAATTAAGATATACAAGTTAAATCATAATTTATGTATAATACATCATTGTTGAATAATACTTAATAATGACAAAATTTGTAGATTGGATTGGTTAAAGATTTTTAGTCAATATTATTTGTATTTCTGATGCCGATGAACGTTCTTTCTTTAAAATATGAAATGACAGACTAATATAATAGTGATAACACCTACTGAATCGCATTGTAATGCATCTACGTAATTAATACAGTGTAGTAACCACATGTCCTGAGTAGATTGTCGAAAACTTCTTACTGACTCTGTATTACAACATCGTTCAGTTGAGAGCCTTTGTAAGAACCTCCTATTTATTGGTATTTTATGGACATGTAAATTTGAGAATACTGTGCCTCAGGAGGAATTCATTGTTTGAAGTTGAGTGTGATATAACCTAATATTAAAAATAAAATCTGAGATGACATCATGTTGATAGCAGATCGTTATATTAGGTATTGTGTGTGTATTTTGTTGATCGTTGAATTAAAAAATCAATTTTAGAAAGTAAAGGATCATAAGTTTATTATATGTCCCTTACTATGTCTAAGCTGAAAAATAGAACTAAAAATATACTTCATTTTAGCGGTGTTATAGGAGAGATGTGATTAGAAAATCAAACTATATCTAGAACAGTATCATTACAATCATAGGGTGTTACAGGTCCTTGTAGAATGTACTAAATGAAGTTATTCGAAATAAAAAATTAAAAAAAATAAATAAAGGGAAAATGCAATAAAAATGACAAATATGCTTGTAGAAAAAAACGTTTACTTACGTTGAGCTATAACAGTCAATTGAAAAGTTGTGTGGATCATGATCAGCAACACTAACAACATTTTAGCTGTTGTTATATCCAACAGGTACAATCAGAACTAATATTTTACTAATATGAAATAAAACTGTTATGGATTAGAAATAGAATTTTGAGATTCCCTGACAGAAAAAGTTAACAAGACAAATAATAGCAGATTCACAGACGCTATCTCAATCATAAAACAAGCACAATCGATGATTGATTGATTGCTAGATGTGTAACATCCAGTGGCAAATATTTTATGCATGTTCAAGACGAGAACAAATTAACAATAAATACATTTGGTAGGTCCTGTAATAGACATGATAGAGGCCATCCGGGATAAAGTATCCTGGATAGGGAAAGAAATTTTGTTTTGCAGCAGACCACCTACGGACTCCCCAAACAGGTTTTGTAAGGGTTCTAAATGCGCAGAAAGAATGGCACTCTCTTTACACGAAACATCGGTTTTAACGTTCCCATTCTGACCAGACGTGGCTGCGTACTTATACAACCCACATAGCCAAACATACGGCCCGTTTCAGCGAAGGCTTTTCTGGCGGACGAAAGAAGACTAGAGTGATTATAATTGTATTCGCCTGTCACCCTTAGGGGTAAACACAATCGTGGCGCTATTTATTTATTATTAACGGGAGTCATTAAAATCACATAATCAATAATAACAAACGCTATTCCGCATTTCTTCTAAAACAATCGTGTAAGGTATATTGCCTTGTTCGCCGTTATATTTACTTGATTTTTTTTTAAGAGGAAAGGTTTTTGTAAAATTTAAAGTTCTTTTACGAAACTTATACAAGTCAGACGTAAATTTTTCACCGAAACCAAATGTCCATCTGAGATGTTTTTCAGGAAGAACAAACTCAGGTTACGGATGTTTTTCGAATATGAAATGAACACTTTAAGTATTTTTTTATAGGAATCATGCATACAATTTACCAATCGTATTACAATAGTCTTCAGCAACACTGTAGCAATTAAAAATATATTGATTCATCCACTATAAAGATGTACATCTATATTTTAGAACTGTACTGTTTTGATTGTTATACTTCAAATGATGACCATAAAAAATATTACTACAACTCGTAGAAAAAGCATAACATCTAGATATCTTAATGAAAAATACAATCAAGTATAATTATGCTCGAACCGAAACTATAAACAGACGTAGAAACACACACATAATACAAAATCGTTGCGAATACGATAAACTTGTACCTTTACTTTAATGATAAAATTCGAAAATCTCGAAAATAAATCAACTTGAAGCTTTTTAGTGACAGCTTATCGCGAATATAAGTATCCGTGAACATTAGTTTGAGTACGGTATATAATTTGAAAAAAAAATTGTAATAAGACGTTTTTTTCCGTTGACGACCTGGATGCGAGCCATTTGAGTAATTTTTGGGATAGGGGTTCCCCCCTCACAACAAAATGCGTTTTGTAGTAATTTTAGTACACGTAGCTACAATGGAATATGATCATTCATTCAGAAATATTCTTCGTAAAAAATGACTGTGGCAGAGTCATATTTGATTAATATATTAAATATGATACTTTTGATTATTAATTTTATTGCAATGTTTGATAGTTTAGTTACTCATTGTTTCTATTTCTAGTACTATTGTTCTAGTATCATTCTCTTTTCCCTTTGGTGGACCTCTTTTCTTTCATATCATTTTGGAGGGAAAATTCTAACCTTTTGATTGGTCAATCTTTAGGCCTTATGCCTTACTATAGGTTTTCTTTGTTTCTGGAGATTAATACTGCAGACATATTGAAATGCAGTGGTGATAAATAACCTGCTTGATAAATTGATTTTTTATATATATTATACTACATATTCTTGGATTTTCAATATTCTTATATTCAGGTTTGTTGATGAACCTTATTTCTAATTAACAAATTAATAGTATGTCATTTTAATACTTTATGAAAGGATTGAATGTATGTATTTGAATGGAGGAATAGTTGGAGTATGAAAGAGTAAAAGATTAAATCATTAAATTATAAGATAATAACACAGAGTCATATTGAACATTTTAGTATAAAACATTCTTGTACTTTAAATATTATGAAGTTAGATTAAAAGTAATGGATAGATAAATTTGGTATTTGAATAATACAGAACTCTGAAACTACATATTTTAAATGTAGTTGTGTATTTTATTTAATTGGTGAAATAGTCCTGTCACTGGACTTATGAATGTTATATTTTTATTTATTCAGGATATGGATAATTACCGTTTCATATGACATGTATGAGTAGTGCTCAGATTTATACACACAGCACTGTGACGTTTCCAATTACTACACTGACCTATGTACCATATACATGGTAAGCATTGTGTTCTATGTTGTTTACTTGTAATGTCTGTGCTGTCTAGTTTTATTTAAGTAAATGTCTGTTTATGTGAAGTGTAGTTTATGTGATATACTTATGTTGGTCAGAATTTGTATACTTTGTATACAAATTTATTTATAAAATGGACAACTCTTTAAAAGATTTGAGATGTATATAATTATTTATTACTATGAGATACATATGAATATTGCATTGGAATGTTAACTAAAGAGTTAGATTTTTGTGATTAAAGGGCTTATTTGAGTATATAGATATTTAAAGGAATGAGTATAAATTGTAGTTATTCCCCTTTGCCCATATGGTACATGTACTGTCTTGTCATGTGAATATCTATTATTTGTTGTTATATGTTTTAGGGTCTAAATATAGTGTATTAAAAGAAAAGAACCCTAGATCATCGTTTGTGTTGTATCTACCTAGAAAATACCCCGTTACAATGACTATTAAACAATTGACTTAATTTGAAAGTTATCATACACTGACATGTTTTAATGTTGACTACTTCGAAAGTTGAATGAAACAAACCTTATCTATAATTAGGATTGAGGGATCAGTGTTGTTGGGGTTTTTTTTATCAAATGTTTTAATTTAAGAACATTCAGAAAACTTAGAATATGGTTTGTAAAAAAAGATGATATTTAAAAATACGGGTACGCTATGATGAATAAAGTGTATAAAAATTTTTTGAAAGAGACATGAACTAGTCAAATTTTATTAACATTTCAACTAATTTATGTCGACACGTGTTGATATATAAAAGCGTTTAACGATGCAAAGTTTGCATCTTGCCCTACCGGTAGAAGCATGTGTTTCCTAAAATGTCATATTTAATATGTTAAATGTTTTTATTTTTATTTCAATACACACACAATGATAACTTGCCAAGATTTTTGACATGCCTTCTGTAATATAAAAATAAAGACAAATGGTATGACTGCCTATAAGATGATTATCCACCAAAGTGGAAATGATATTGATATACATGTTAGTCACTATAAATCACAGAACGGTCTTAAACAAAGAAGTATGTTTTGTATTTAGGTAAAACAAATTTACGCGTGCCTTCCTAATTAATATCAAATATCCAAGAGTTGATATATAATAAATTACCTCACACTAAATAACATTCAAATTCATGTACACATGGAAAGTGTTCAAAATTGGAAAAGGTTAGTAAAGGAATGATGTTACACTTATCACATGTTCAGCTCGGTGCATGTTGATTCTTTGATTGTTAAACTAATTTTGATGTCTCATTGGAGTATATACAGCATTTTTTTGTTAAGAAATCAAGAAGGTAACTGTACGTGTTTAACAGAACATTCATTTCTGCTGACTTAAAAAAAAAGGATATATGTTCTCCATTAATGGTCTCGATAAGTAAAAACTTATTTGGATAACCATATCTTAATATCCACCAATATGAACGGACATGCATATATATTACCTTCTGAAAAAACAAGTTGCCATTGCAATTACGTGTAATATGACATTTCAATCAGTCCAATATTCACGAATAATAACGCATAAGTACCATTATGCAACAACAACACACAAACATACATATTACCATTGGTTAACTCCGTATATATTTTTTTAAAACTAAACAAACGCCAATTCAATGACAAACAATATTAAATGATCAGACGGGACATATAGGTTTATACTTTTTGAAACTATCAGTTAAAATTGTCAACTTTTCCTTTGTCGATTAGTCTTTTCTCTTAGAAAGTATTAAGTAGCAATCCATTTTGTCTTACTTCTTCGGTCACGTAATGCAGACGTGAGGTGAATATGTGTTTTTAATATTTGTTTATGATATTATGAATGTTAAAAAAGCAAATTGTCCCTAAATGGTCTTATGCGTATCAATATGTCGACAACCGCCCCTGTATGAATTTGTAATCCATGGCAAGTAAAGACAAGGTAACATGTAAACACATTGTCATTTTTTGCAATTAAATACATGTAGCAAAAGTGTTACAGCTAAAATGCCGAAGATGGGCTTATGCACTCGGCCTTGATTTTCCGAGATAGTTATGATTGCATTGATTTCAGCTGGTGTATGTCATTTCTAAAATGTGCGAAGTCTGATTAGCTAGATAAAGTGAGAGGACGTGCCATACCTTTCTATATATTTGTCTTTATTGGTGACTAGAAATAGTCAGATTTTCGCCTCTAGGCACTTAAAATTGATCAGAATGAAAATTTTCGTCAATAATCATTATTGTCTAAAATGTGTTTTGTCTTAATTCAAGATTCGTAGAAATTTCGGATTCGTCGAAATCAAGATTGAGCTTTAAACGTCATACATCACGATTAACAGAAGTTCAAGCATCTTTTCAGGCCGAAAGTCAATATTTATCCAAACCAATAACGTTAAAAAAATGCAGTATTAAAAGCTAAACTAAAAATGGGGAAATCTAAAAAAAAAATATGACAAATTCAGACGCTCGACTATATTAACCAACGATCGAGTGGGAGATAACTATTATAGCTCTTACTTGGTACAGGCATTTACCGAAAAAAGGTCGGTAAAACCTTATATAATAGCTCTCTAAAATTCCCACTTTTATGGCAGTTGTATATAATTTCCTTATATTGACGAATCGTTTTAGCAACCCAAACAGATATAATTGATTAATTGTAAAACATAATAACATTTACACACTTTACCGATAAAATACAATTTAAGTAAGTTACAAATACTAGGATACACAGAATGTAAATAACACTATACAATTTCATATTTAATGCGCCTGAGAACCAAAAGCCAAAAACCAAAATCATGAAAGCCGGATTCACAATTACAAGAGTGATATATTTAAGTGTATATTGTGGTACATTTGATGTAAATTATAGTAGTTAACTGCATAGATACTTTTCTGGGTATTTCATTGAGTAAATGAAAACAATATATATGTTATAAACGGAATTTTCCCACACATGGAGATACTAGATTGTGACTTATTTTTCGGTCCTGAAACGGCAGTGTTTACAGGTATTTATAGAACTATATCTTTCTTTTTTATTAAGCTTAAATGAATAAAATATTTCAGCCGTGTTAACAAATAAAATAGTATCTAGAAACATTCTAACATCTGTCAAGATCATTTTTTGTTGAAAAAAAAAATTGAGCATGCATGTTCATAATGATTATATTTTACTCTTCTTGCATATTCTATATTTTCCCTTCCATTTAATATATCAATGGAAAACACCACAAAGATAAAGTAAGGAAGGAAAAAGGAAATATGCATGACCATTTGACCTGAATTGTGATAAATGTCATATGAACTCATTTGACATATACAAAGTAATTATTTTCTAGAGTCATTATTGAAACAGAATTTCATATTCGATTCAAGTTTAAATATGAAATCAACGTTGAAATTGATCAAGTCTTGTTTACAAATATACAGTTTGAACATTTTGCATTCTATGAAAACTATTTCTGGTAATGTAGTATATAATGAATGAAGACATACCTTTCATCGGATTAATCATCATATAATAAAAAATAAACCTGACATACATCTGATGAGTTTTCTGTAATCTGATTCATTTAAAATAAGGACATACTTTCACTCATATCAGTGAAGCATATCGTGGTTATCCGATATAACATATGTCATATGAATATTTAAGTGTTACGTTTCGGTAGAATAATTACTTTACAATGAACGTATAGTAAAGTTTACAACATGTATTTTTTATAGAGAATTTTAAAGAAATACGGGATAAGAATTCGTTTTTATTACCCATTTCTCCGAAAAACAAAATACATGAATATGCCTCGCGATGCTCGTGTGTCTTTAGAAGAATATACAAAAGCGGATTTTCCAACACATCAGCATCGAAAAATTTCGTCTATTTGATTTTACAATAATGATATTTTTTCTTTGAAATTTTTATTTATTGATGCAATTTAACTATACATTATCAAAAAAGATAAACGTTTATTTAGTACACTGTGAAAGAAGACATACCTTCTATCGGATAAATCATCACTTTATTGACCCTTAATATGTTCAAAGTAATCTGAATCGTGTTGATAAGGAAATAGTTTCTCCTCTTCCATTTAAGCACACACTTGTAATTCAATAATGGATCATGAATATCAATTTGTAACATTTAAGAAAAATGTTTTCATTGAAATGTACGTTTTGCACACGCATGTTGTTTTTATTCCGTCAGAACATTAAATACAGGGTAGACAATGATTTTTGATGGTGTGATAGAACCTATCGACTCTTTTCTTGCAACACAAGAAGTGTGGAAAATAAAATAATGTATATGAAATCTACAAAACGTTCAGTGTGTTATGATTATTTCTAGCACAAACATATTCATTTCATATAATGTTAAAATATTTTAATTTGAATCGAAACGTTTTTGTTGTAAAATCAATGTTAGTATTTGTTGATAAATTTGCTATTAACGTTAATATTTGTGTCATATGTTATTATCCTAAGTTAATTATGCCCTTATGTTATTGATTGTTAAACATTTATGGTATTGCATCATGGTATTATTATTGATTATATACCTAGCTTGAAGTGAATGAATTGATAACTTTTATAAAGGGAACGTTGATAAATTCAGAAACTAAGGTTCCAACTCTCTCCAGCAAAGTCGACCATTTTGCTATAATGTTTAGGTTCCATTTTCTCATACAGTTTATCAGGTATTTAAGCTATCAGATCATGCATTTATTTAAGAAATGAATGCTTCATTTTATATTTTTATTATGATGTAAACGCGTTGACAGACCCACATTTTGTATGAAGCGCTTGATTTCAACTTCACCACTGTAAAATCGTGGTTTTATAGCTTCCTTGTGAGCAGTAACCCCCTATCAATGAAATCGTGATAGGAAACGCAAGCTCTCGATAAGACATGTGACCAAACTGGATCAATCAGTACACATCCAACATCTCATGGATGTATTGTAAAGACGTCATTAATATTCCGAGAAGAATATTACCATGCGCAATTCCAATATACAGGGTACTGACAGATTGTAGAACCGTGAATGTGCACATGTGTATAACAATTATATGTAGATCGGTTTTAATTTATTAATAACAAAATCAATATTTATATCATTGAAAAAAATCCATGAACAGAGCTTGCATCATTAGATCGGTATTAAGCACGTTATCAACAAACAGAAAAACATGACACATTATAATGATCTAAGAGAATTCGCAGTTGGTGGATGCAAATTCAAAGTTCAATTGCAGGTATAAAATCGGCCATCTTTGCCCAGGTTAAATATTAATTTGGACTTGCACCAACGGATTTAGTTTACAAACATAGAAAATGTATACTTCATTAATAATTTAAATTCGTGGTTCATCTTTACCCATGAAAACCACGAAAATTGGTACCCCGCGAATGATTATATATTCACTTTTGACGGTTTCCACTAGACATTTGCACATTCTCACTATCGGTTAAAATCCATAATAGGATGCTGGAGAATAAGTTTTCATAACTGACTATCAATGTTTAGGAACATCCATTCAATAATACATTCATAAATATTACTTGACTTATCGAAACTTCAAAAACTCCGTTAGAAGATTCACAATTATATTCTCGTATATCGATTAGAAAATAAATTTGTTCATAACATATTTAACATCACAACTCGTTCGCTATGCATATGTCTTTAGTGACGATTTAGATTTCAATGTACGCAATCTATATATTACGGGTAAATTAATGGGTAAAGGATTTATTTTGTCACAATTTACGTAAAACCTTAAGTTTACTATATTCTTCCATATATACAAAGATTTGGTTTTGAAGTTTGGCTGTACCTGTAGAAGACTTATTACAAATGGGATAGCACACCCTACTTTTTATGGTGATGTTGTTTACCGAGCCCGTAAAATTAGATATGATCCGGGTAAACTTATCGATCCTTTTCATAAACTTATTCTGAAAGGTTATCAAGTCAACACTGTAATTATATCTTTGAATATTGTTTTTTTTTTTCTCGATGTAAATATGGATTTTGTTATTAATAAATTAAAACCGATCTAAATATAATTGTTATCAAATGTGCACATTCACGGTTCTACAATCTGTCAGTACCCTGTATATTGGAATTGCGCATGGTAATATTCTTCTCGGAATATTAATGACGTCTTTATACTACATCCATGAGATGTTGGATGTGTACTGATTGATATTTTAGTCTAAGACACATGTTTTTTGTATTAGTTTATATTGGCCTTGATCTAGCTTTCAGTAACTTTGAGTACTCTCAGATATGTACTTAATGTGTTTTGTGCTTTTGTTAGGGTTTTTCTGTGCTTTTTATGGATCTGATACTAGTAAGTAAAGCCCTTTTCAACCGGTTTTGTAAAAGTTGTTTCTTATTTTGTATTTTTACACCACTGTTCCAGGTAATAGAAGGGTTTGGCGCCAACAAACATGTTTAACCCCGGCACATTCTGTAGGTGCTGGTGCCAAGTCAAGAGAATTAACATTTATCATTTCGTGGTTTTTTATAGCTTAATATGCGGTATTAGTTTTGCTCATTGTTGGAGGCCGTATGGTGACCTATAGTTGTTAACTTCTATGTCATTTGGTCTCTGGTGGTGAGTTATCACATTAGAAATCATACCACATCTTCTTATTTTTATATTGAATTTAAGATATTCTTAATCAATTATAAAAAAAAAACAGTCCAAGAAAGACAAACACACTGAAAAGAAGGAAACAGTTTTATTTACTAAATTCAGAAAAAAACGAATGCTCTTAATTTGTTTCACATTTATTACAGTGTTGGCAGTGTTGTGTTTTCAGGTGCAATATGTCAAAAGTTCGTGTAATTGTGGTTCAAAGTTTTCTTTTACGAATTTAAGTCATTCTATGTTTGCCCGTTTATGTTCACTGATTTTAAAAGCAGCAATATTTCACTTCTTAGTTCATAGAATAACTGTCTATCCAAAATATTGTCGCTACACGAATATCATATCCATGTATCAATTTTATTATGCCATGGAATGTTAAACATTAGTAATACGTCATGTACGACGTGTATTCGTCAATAAGTTCTTGGATGATGCATCTGTAACAATAATTGCAGTGATCCAATCTGAAAAGATAACGTAGATTATTTGTAATTGTCCTTCAATGATAACAATGCTCTGATAGTTTTGTTTCGATATTGGCTTGTTTAAATAGTCATGTAAGATTTAAATGAATGTAAAAAATTCATTACTAACTAACTTTGATACTGATATTGTTTTATATAAATTTGCAGTTCTAACAGTTCTTAATGATTTCAAACTAAGAAGTGCATCTTCCTTATGCATAATTCTGATTCCTTGTCCAGGTTTGGCTCTCTTGTTTGATCCGTTTTAATTTTGTTAGCTCCTCAACGTTTGTTTAAGATTTTGACATTAGGGATGCACATATATATGTATATACAAGAGATGACGATAACTTTTATTAATTCGCTGGCCAAAACTCAATGAGGAAAATTGAAATTAAAAAAATTGCCAGAACCCGAGACATGTTTACTTTACGGTATGTGTTATGCTCATTGTTGGCTATATGTTGACGTATAATTAACTACTATTGGTATCAGATATACATGTATCATTGTCTCCTCGAAAGGAAGGAGATACCACAGGGATAATCAAACTCATAAGACAATCAAGCAAACGTTTTACATATCTGGTTTTTGATCAGTAGCCGACTCGAATCTCCAAGTTAAGATGACAACGGTCCAGTATATCTAAGGAAAAGTTCCTTTTCCATTCTATATTCATATTTTGCATCGTAGAAGCGCATGTCGTGTACACAGCCTTCGGCAGTTATTCATTTATTATTATCCATCTGACTTACTTTTAGCGAGTGACACGAAGTGTGCACCTAATGGGAAATGCAGTGATTATTCTTATAGAGTTTCTGAGCTTAAAAATTGATTTATTCGGGGCCATGTTCATCAACTTGAAGTATTTTGTATAGTGTTTGGTTAACTTATTTTGCATTTTTAGTCCTGTCGATTTTGCTCATAATTGACAATCTATTCTCACTGAGGTCTTGGTTTCGTTTTACTTCTTTCATATGACTTCCCTGGAAGAAAGTGGATTTATAGCAAGATTCATTTTTATTATCTTACCAGCAATGGTTTTATAAACTGTAGTGAAACAGGTCTAGATATAACGGATCATTCATCGTATATCCCGTATTCATCTTTATACAAGCTTGACATTTTACTGTAAATTGGTTTATGTGTGAATGTTTCATTAGAAGCAGGATAATCTTGGATCCATTTGCAGGTATGATATTGCAGATAAAAATAGAACAGGATTCACAATGTTAAAAATGTAATAAGGAAACAGAAATTGTTTAAAAGTATAAAGCTGCTAAAAGTTTGATCCTCATGAATGCAATGCATCTGATTACGAGTGTAATCTCCTTTTTTATGATTAAAAACATTTAGAGTGTTTCTATTATTAGAAAGCCACATTTAATAGTTTGAACTGTATTGTTATATCTAAACTCAAGTTGTGCATCCTATGGTTAAGATACAATTTAGATGGTCATTTCTGAATCTGGAGAGGCATAACGTTCTTATTGAATGACATTCAGCTAAACATGATACATTCGTTTTCGATATTTAAACAATTAACAAACGAAAAATAAAATGTCTATATGAAAATGATTGAGACGAAATAAAAGTTATAGAATAAGCCGGATACCTTCAATTTCCACTTTAAACACGATGATCCCATACACAAAAAATGTATAATACCCATAATTAAAACACAACACATTATTGTAAAAGAAAACTCATTTACGTTATATACATATAAAAAGAAAGAGAACTTAATAATAGGATTATATAAGTCATTAATAACATTCATATAGATATAGGAAATGCAATAGCTGTCATTTGACATGTATTAATGGAATTAGAAAGATAATGACATTGAATAACATACACAAATAACAGGAAACGTTGACACAGCAAGCAAACATCATACATAACTAATAGTTAGATTATTCTAAAGTTAAGTATATTTCTATATAGATATCACGGTATAATATCAAGTTGTTAATTATATTTTATTATTTGTAACTCAACTATGTATTTTACAAAATTAATGTTGTATTTTACATGATGTTTTTATCCTAATCTCTGGTTTAACTAGACTTTAGTGTAGGATAGCTTCATGTTAAACACAATGCATCTTTCAGTTGTAAAAGTTGAAACAATTAAAACGAACCGTAGGCTAATAAGACAACATGTATAGTACTGAGTGAGAAAAGTATGAACAGTATAAACAGTCAAACTGGAATTAATGGAAAAAAATACTTACAAAAAATGCTCGAGTTTAAAACGTTTAAATAAAAACTCATTCGCTCTGATAAAATAAGCATACATGTGTATTGGTTTTTTGATTGACTAACTCGACATTGACTTTCACAGCGTTTTAACAAATGAACAAATATGAAACAAACAATCTTAAATATTCTTTTTTTTTTCTATAACATAAACATGAAAAACAGTCATATTTATGGTAAATTCTGGACTATGTGTTGAAATCGACTACTTCTAAGAAAATGACTCACATAGACAGTACTGTCCAGCCCATCCAGTTACACATCCTTCGGTACAAACACCTGTGTATGTATCACACTTTGTATTCAAACATTGTTGCGGGTCACATCCGAAAACACAGGAACCATTTTCAGGATAACAGTGTTGGCCTACACACATAGAGGAACATTCTTCGTTGCAGTTTGGTCCCCACCTACCTTTTGGACATCCTACAATGTTTACGGCTCTCCATAAATGTACTTATTGCATGCAATACATACAACTTGAAGAATAACCGACATAACCAAAATGTATTTAACAGTACAACAGTACTCCCCAACTACCATTCCAGGCCCCTTTGATAAAAAAACCAGATGTACAAACAAATTTAAGACAAACATAATAAACACAATCTGTTACTGATATTTTAACTTAGTGCGGACACACAATGTAGTGGGGTAAAACCAAAGCGTATCTATCTGTTAATGTCTATTTTTACCGTATGTTATCAAGTAAATATACAATACTTTTAAAAGTATTCGCTACCCATGGAAGCAAGAGCTGTAGCTTGAATATTACTGATAAAAAAACATAAACAACCCGCAGAATATGTATCATGAAGTTTCATAAGAAAACAATAAAATCGAATCGTTAGTGCTAATATAGTGAATATACAAATGGTTGCTTTACTCACTTATTGTCTGACATTTTTCGAAAATGTGAAATAGCAAAATTTCGGTATATTCGTTCTTGAGACGGCTATTAAGAGTTAGAATAAAAAGTAATCACGGCATAAAAAGTGAAGGCAACAAGAACCCGTTTTATCTGTTTAGAACATTGGAATCGTATTACGACTGATGCATTAAGAACAAGTTGTCCTAACCCTATTTACTTATCACCACTGGATTTAAAACAGGAACACAAATGATATAGAAGAAACTCGTTATTTACTATAGGATATATGGGAATACGTTAACATTGGAATTAACTGTTTTAAGCTAAAAGAGAAATGAGGAATGCAGTTATGCTTTTGAATCTTAAATTACAGAAAGCCACAGTAGTGTACGAATAGCAAAAAAGCGATGAAATAGCAATATTTACTCGCTCTTTGTGACAACTAAGGTCTAGTAATTTAGAGCGAGTTTCGTTTCCCTTTTCTGATCTGATTAATTACATAGCGACATCATCCGACGTACGGTATTGTAACCATTCGTTTACAATATATGTACGTTGTCGGAAAATATAAAATGTATCCGTACGAGCATTCGAAACAGGACGAAAAGAGAGACTCGCCGAGCTTGTCACACATTTCGTAGCGAGTACAAATAAGTTTCATATTTCCGACAATGTATATATATTGTTTTTATTCTGCAATTTACACCCGGCACTTGACCATGCTTTAGTTGTTTAAATCCAAATGCCTGTCTCTGATTTTTTTAAAGCAATCGAAAGTGTTTTAAAGCGGACAACGACGAGGACCTCAAAATAAATTGTTACACGAAAAAAGAAAAAAAAAACATTTACCGCTTGCTCAACATGGAAGTGGGGTAACAGGAGCCTTTATTTGTACAAGTACATATAAAGCAAACATTTATTTGTGTACGTGTTATTTATACAATAGTTGGCTGATTGAAGGATACATTCAATTATAATGCTGACATAAAATGATTTGTCTATAGAGTGTCTGTATGCCATTTTGTTTTCTTTTTTGACATAGTTGTTTGTTTTTATAGTGATTATAACACAATGTTGACTGCTGTGACCCAATGTTTGACATTTTTAGCTTTTATGTCGGTTTGTTTTGTTCACACATTGCTGTCAATTTAATGGAATTATATGCGACTGTCATGCAAGTGAGAGGTTTAGCTAGCTATAAAACCAGACTTCATCCACCATTTTCTACATAAGGAAATGCCTGTACTAAGTCAGAAATATGACTGTTGTTTTCCATTCGTTTGATGTGTTTTAGCTTTTGATTTTGCTATTTAATAAGGGACTTTCCGTTTTAAATTATCCTTGGAGTTGGTAATTATGTTATTTTTACTTTTTACAGAATATGACAATATCTGTTTATAAATTAAATTTAAGATTCGCTCTCATCTGCTGTTTTTTAACGATCTTAGCATTAGAGTGTTTTGGACGATTGATGACGTATTCGTTTTCGAATTCCCATCGTTGACTGTTCCTCTTGTGTTTAAAGTTTCTAGAATATATATAGACTTTTATTAAACAAAATTTGATCGAATACACACATATATAAGACATTTTTTTTAAATTACATATTTAGAGAGTACTTAAGATACAACCGTTTATAGTTTTGGGTGTATTTAAGTAGTGCATTATTTATGACTATTGAATATTTCAAATGTATCAGAGCCTACTGATGTATCCGTAACACATATAATCATAGCCTTTCCAGCTAGAAACGACGACAAACAGTTGTTCTGTACGGACAACTTGAAATTACACTTTTTCTATCTTTTTCAGGCGAATAAAAATAGCTATTTAAAAGCAGATTTGTATTTGACGAATTGTAAAATAATCAATGAAAACTAATAAATAAAGGGACACCTATTTTCAAACCATGGTTAGTATAAATTGCATGAAATGACATAATCTTTTGAATGAAACTGTCGACTATTCATTCAACAGTAGGATAAAGCACACAGTTGTAAGATTTATGTAATCAAATTAGGTGGTGTTCGATCATATCGAGGTTTCTATATAAAATGTTCTTATCTTACAAGTAGTTGCATTTCATTAATGCTATTGGTCAATTTTTCGAGTACGAAATCTAAATAATCGTTAAAGAACTTAATCAATCGAACAGGAGAAGTTAGGTTCAATACATTCAAGAAAAAAATAGAATACTATGAACAGTAACAAAAAACCAACCATTGATGGCAACATAGCATAATTCTACCAAAGGTCCGAAGTCCTTGTCTCCTTTATCATCGTAGTAAATGATGTATTTTCCCAGATGATTACATGGTATTGTCTGAGTGATGTTTGGAAGACCAGGGTCAGGATCTTCATAACAGAGGTAGCCGTCAGGTGGAATAGTTGATGTGTTAGTCACATATATTTTAAATCCGTCCATCCGGTGAGCATCTGTAATAAATGAAAAAACATTTGTATATTACTTGGCAAGCATGAATTTATTTTAATTATCATAATCCGCAATTTGGGCATCTGTAGTATCTCCTCGCATCACAGCACAACAACGAATAGACTTTCTAGTGAATTTTAAACGTTTTTGTTTCGTTGAAAAACTAATAGACTGCTGTGACAGTATTTTTATTCGTGAAGTACCAATTGTCGTGGTTTTCGTGGATGACTTAAACCAGGAATTTAAATGTCGTAATGGATTTTTATGCGACTGTCATACAAGTTTGAGGTTAAGCTAGCTATAAAACCATGTTTAATCCACCATTTTCTACATAAGGAAATGTCTGTACCAAGTCAGGAGTATGACAGTTGTTTTTCATTCGTTTGATGTGATTGAGCTTTTGATTTTGACATGTTTGATAATGGACTTTCCGTTTTGAATTTTCCTTAGAGTTCGGTATTTTTGTTATTTTACTTTGTTCATATTATAACAACTGTTGTCCTTTTTAAGACATGGAAAGATTTTCATGTAGGTTTGACTACATGGATACGGGCATATAATCTAGATAATACATCGAAAATCAGCAAATTTTAAAGCACTATGAACGATGAACTATATATACAACTTCAGACAGGAGTTTACACATTTTAATCTTAAAAAAACATAAACTGTACTACTTTTTAAATTGAAAATATAGTACTTCTGGTGAAGATATACGATGATGAAGTGTTCATTTTACCTCCTCAATGTTGTAATACGAATAAAAAATAGTAATTGCATATTGGGCTTGCTTTTTTTATTTCATGTATTTCTGTGTAAAAGTATTATAAATTCTGGATATTTGTCATTTGGCTTATTTATGTGCCATTAATTGTTGGTTCTTTAAGACTTTTCATTGTATCCCCAAGTGCATTTAGATTACTATAAATAAATTCTTAAATCCTAGTAAATAATACACTCCAGTTAGACAGCCAGATAATGATATCTTAAAACGACAATGGTAATTTCGTAAATAAATAATGGAGATACCAAGGCGACAATATACCTGTAGGAGGTGAAAACATTGATGAAATAAAGATATTCTTAAGTTGGTAAATGTTGTTAAGTTTGTTCCAAGAGAGTCTGTGTCAATATAAAAAAGTTTGTTGAGAGAAAGAGAATTTTAGTTAATTTTCCGTCAATATTTTATTTTTAAATATATGGTGTATTTATTCTTAAGTGAAAACAAGTTGTACATCATATAACTTGATATTTAGCAGTTTCTGTGGAGTATTCTCCCTTTTTATTCCATACTGAGTTATTTAAACAAAAGAAAGACGGGGTTGTGGATACAACAAGTGGAAAATATATGTGTTGATATATATATAGAAAAAGCAGCAAATATCCTTCAATAACTAGCCGAATAGAAGTTTTAGTCTAATACATTTTCTTTGTTTTTCTTCTGCATTTATTATACAATGAACGACTAGGTGCAAACGCGAAAAAGCTAGCTGTATATAGATATACATTTTGTAGCTCTTGCATTATGTTTTACAACTGATTACAGAAGTTGTAAATGCATGTATATGTCTAAAACGTCTTCAAAATAATACATTGTTTAATCAAAACAACGAAGAGTTTATCGTAGTAGCTTTCTAAAATTCATAATTTTGTCAGACGGGGAAAAACAAGTACATTTTGATCAAAATAACGCGTGTTTACGTTATAACCAGTAGCACATCTATATTTGTTCATAATTAATTCATCGGCTATAATCCATTCGATCGGTCTACCAGTAATACGTTGCGCTACAGACACAAACATAAATGTTGTCTCTTTGACATTGAAACATCTTTTTTATTTATATTGTGTCATTTACTTGTATTTGTGTATTGTCTTTTTGATCGAGTTAAACCATATGAATTGATATT